GAGGAGGAGGAGGAGGAGGAGGAGAAGAAGAAGAAGAAGAAGAAGAAGAAGAAGAAGAAGAAGAAGAAGAAGAAGAAGAAGAAGAAGAAGAAGAAGAAGTAGTAGTAGTAGTTGGAAGGGACCTTGGAGGTCATCTAGTCCAACCCCCTGCTCAGGCAGGAAACCCTATACCATTTCGGACAAATGGCTGTCCAGTCTCTTCTTAAAAACTTCCAGTATTGGAGCATTCACAGCTTCTGGAGGCAGGTTCTGAAGCTGCCTCTGTGGGCCTGATCTACGTAGGAACTCTGAAGGAGGAAAGGCAGTTGCCTGACACGTCTCCTGCCTCCCCCGCTTCCACACACGAGGCAATGCTCCTGCCAGCCACGAAGCCCAGATCCTGTCCATCAAGGCCCCCTGCAGATCTGGGAAGACAGGGCCTCCAGGGCTTAGAGGGCCCCTTGTGGCATCCAGCCAGTCCAGGCCCACAGCTGGAGAACAGCTGCCTGCCAGGAACTGCCACTCCACTGAAGCAGGCAGCATGGCCAGCAGGGCTTCTCATATCTTGCCTTCCCACACAGGGGGGGGGGCAGGCCCAGCCCTTGGACTTCTCGGTGTCCAGGGACAGCCTTTCTGGGACGCTCAGACAGTTGAGGGGACTAGAACAGGCTGTCACTCCCAACCAGAACCCCCAGCAGGATCACTTTGGATGGAGCTGGTCAAGGGTACCCCCAAACTGTGGCTGTGTGAGGTCAAGTGCAGCAGACAAGCTGGATTCCGTGACTGGGGTGGAGACGCTGCCTGTAGCAGGTGGGAGAAGGGAATATGGGGAGTATTGAGGCAAAGAGAGTCAAAGACCCCCTGGGCCTTGGAGGGAGGGTCAACACGGGCTTCAGGCCTGTCCCACACGTGCTGAGAGTCTGGTCTCCAGCTGCAGGGAGAAGGAAGGAAACAGGCAAATGCCGTGAAGGGGTGGGGGCTCTCGGGCAGAGAGCACACAGGAAGAAAGACGCAGGCCCACTGCAGCGACCCTTTGACGCCACAGAGGCTGGCAGGACCTGTGATGCGGCATCACAGCAGCCAGGCAAGCCGCAGAGGAGCCAAACGTGCCCGATCTCTCTGGGGCACCTGGTCCCACCGGGACCCCCAACAAGACTGGGAGAGCAGCTGCACCAGGGAGGAAGCATGATCAGAGATCGTTCTAGAGAAGCCGGACGGGCTGCTGAACTGCAACGGTCAGCGATTCCAGCCCGACCAGAGGACGGTTCTCTTCCTGCAGGTTGAGAGTCCCTCACGGGCTGGCAGAAGGCAGCCTTCGCCTGTCTGTTTGCCATGGCAAAAGGGAACATATAACAATACGGAGTTTGTATTTTACTGAGCAAAAGCAAGAATGCTCTCCGGAAGGCCAGACTTTCTGCCCATTGATCCACCCACAAGACATCGCTGCCCCAAAGCAACCGACAGTCCCTGTCAACTCAGGGAAGGACTGAGCCCCTGGCCCAGCACTGGCAGTGCTGCAGGACCCCAGAGATGCCAGAGTGTGCCAGGACAGTGCCAGTCCCAGGAAGACAATGGGGCTTGGAGCTCTGGACACACCAGAGCATCACCCCAGAGCTGACCCTGGCTGCTGCTGCTGCTGCTGCTGCTGCTGCTGCTGCTGCTGCTGCTGCTGCTGCTGCTTCTTCTTCTTCTTCTTCTTCTTCTTCTTCTTCTTCTTCTTCTTCTTCTTCTTCTTCTTCTTCTTCTTCTTCTTCTTCTTCTCTTCTTCTCTTCTTCTTCTTCTTCTCCTCCTCCTCCTCCTCCTCCTGCTCTTCTTCTTCTTCTTCTTCTTCTTCTTCTTCT